AGGCAAAGAAAAGGAAGTTTGGCTAGGGCTCAGAAAAAGATACTGCCCTTGTGCCGCACATGAGGCCAGACCAAGGGAGCCAACTTCCCATGGCTCAGAAGGCCAGAGCCTATTTGGAAACAACTTTGGGAATTGCTGCCACACTGCTTCATTTTGAGCAGACTGAGCAAGGCAACAGCGCACACAGAGTCACATGGTGGCCAGGTAGACATTTCTCAAACTAAGCTTTATCTTTCAGGGACTTTATAGGCTTTATTTCACTCTTCCTAAGAAAGTAAGGGCCTGATCTAAGCAGGGAAAAGGTAAGACATGCAGTATGAGGGCAAATAGCATTATTACTTCACCTTCTTAGCTTGTAGTCTTGAAAGTCTCCTCTCTCTCAGACCCATCAGCAGCCCCTCCTCTGACCTCCATCAGTAATGATAACATTTAGCTCTTCCATTAATGATGTATATTGAAATATAACCAATTTTGTTCCCCCAAAGGCATGTACAGACTTCAGATGAGAAAGCACCCAACTCCAGACAGAAAATCTCCCACTTGTGGGTGGTTCTGCACAGCACTTAATTTTGTGTCCAAAAATCAGTGGCAAGGTGGCAGAATGCAGCTCTGCTGAAGGTCTACAGCATCTGTGCTGCTGGGGGAAGACCTATTCCATGCCAAGGAAAAGGGCTTCTTACTGCAGACATGTAAAAAAGTACTGACAGAAGCAGAGGTATGGCACTAAGGGAGCAGAAGCCTCACCATTGCCTGTAAATGACACTTCTGAATGTGTTGGATGACCACAGCAAACACTCTCCCAGTCTCTGTGACATGCATGGAGACCCCCAGGGAGGAAAACCAAAGCCTGAGTGTTGCTTGACAGCCCAGGAGAAAGCCGAGCAGCAGTTATCAACTCTCTACAATGGCTGTTCTGCAGCTGTGAAAAATGGGCCTCCTTCCTCTAGGTGCCATAAAAACTGTGTCTCATGAGCAGATATTTTCCTGGCAGCTGGAGCCAGTGCTCCCAAACTTAGAGCCAGAATAGCCCACCTACCATATGCAGGTGGTAAATTCCCACATCCTCCAGTGCAGCATTCCTTTAAAGAACCAGGGGTTTTGGTGGCAAGCCCCACCAATAACAGTCCCAGCAGTGCAATAGGATGCCTTCCCAACTGCAGCTCTTACACCTTCTCTCCTAGCTCCTCAAACTTCACACCATTATTTCCTTTGAATTTTCCATGCTGTTGTTTTACATATTTCTGGGAAGGCAGACACACCAGAGTGAGCATCCATGGGACGGGGTGTTGGGAGATTGTATTGATACCTGGACCTTACAAACGAGGTGACTGTTGAAACTGTCACAGATTTGCTTTAAACATCCCTAAGCACTGCTGCAGTTCATTTTTCCTTTTCCTTTTTTTTAAATAATGTTTCTAGCTACCTGCTACCTTCTATAATGAACTATTTTGTGTAATTAACAGAGGTTTTATGTTTGCAACATATGTTTGATGAGTCAAAATCCAGAACATCTGAGGAAGGGAGCTCTAAAGGGCTCATCAGTAAATAAACACCATGGAACCACTTTGTTGTCTAAAAGCAATGTTAATATTAGATACCAAAAGCTAGCACACAAGAGTCATGTGCCATTCCCTGGGGTAATATCTGCAGGAGGTGCAGGAGGCCAGTGATGCTCTGAGTGTGTGTTTGCTTGGGAGGGTCTTTGGAGGCCTTAATGGAACATGAGAGTCTGAGGCTCACAGGAGACAGCTTGTCTTGCCACTGTGGAAGTGCTATTTAAACAAGGGAAATAAACTATTAATTCACTGAAATTTGGTGGGTTTCTTGCTGTTTTAGTTGTAAACCCTCCCTTTCCTTTGTTTTCAACCCTATTGGCCAAGCAGCTTGACAATAACCCCTGAGAATAAATTTTATTGTTTTTTCTGTCTCCCTTTTGAATATAAACTCAGAAGACATGCTCAGGTGAGAGAACAGAAACTGCTCTAAACTGCTGCTTGATGGCTTCCTGAAAGGAAAACAATCCTCCAAAATGCAAATGTACTCATGATGCAGTTCACTGGCACAGAAGCTGAAGTTTGGCAGCAAGAGATGAACCTGCTTAGGAGGGGCAAGAAGCAAGCTCTTACTTTCAGCTCTGCAGGACCACTCCGTGAGCAAAACACCACATCTTCTGTATAAAACAAAGGCAAAAATGTTATGCAATACTGGAAAAATATTTAATGTAGAGGGCTTGGAAAGAGTTTAAGTGAAATGGAAACATTTTCCAGGTTTATGCCCCATCCTGTACATCCTCCTTGCCCAATGTAATTTATTACTTCTCTTACTGTTTATACAAATCCAAAAAATTCTTACAATGCAGAATACATTCAGAAGCAGTAATGACAACAGTAATAGTTCAGCAAGTAGTCCACCTCAAAATATATAGCCTATTCAGTTTTACACTGAGTATGTCTTTCAGCTAGAAATTATTTTTATCATCTCATTAACAACAGTACAGGCAATAATATTGTTTTTCAAGGTATTTTAAATATTTGTAAGTATCTCGGCTACAACTGGGTTTTTTTCCCCTCTATAATAAGGACAGTAAAAATAAATTACGCTTTGTGCACCTTCAACTACAGTTGGAAACTAACAGTTTTCTACATCTTAAAAGTTATTTGATTTACTGTTGGACGATGTGAGAATCCAACCTCACCATTTCTCACCATACATTATTTTTGACACTACAAAGCCTCATGTTTGTGAAGCAGGAATAAGTTATACCAGAACCACTGCTCAGGATTTGCTGTGACAGAATTATTTTGTCTGTGAAGACTCACATGCCTAAATACATCCCATGAAGGTTTGCATGAATACATAAACAAAACCAGATACTCAGCACCCAAAGAGAGGGCTTGCTACAAATTTCAACTCCTACTAGCAGATTCTTATTCAAGGTGTAAAGCAGATTAACTGTTTGATATTCAATAAGCTAAAAATGTAAAGGCACGAAAAATCTCAAGTTTCTTATCACTGCATTTCAGTGTTCCACATCTTCAAAATGTCTTTCACCTTCCTATGCACTAAGAACTTCAACTTTTACATCCTTTCATGCAAGTCTCTAAGGCTGATGCTGCTAAACTGTGGTCTTTTGAGATCACCGCATCACAAGCAAAGATCAGTACATCACTAGGTCACAAGGCAAAGCATTTTGGCCACACCGTATTTCCCTCAGCACGGTCGGTGTATCATCACCGCGCTCTGTAATTGTGGGATCGCCACGGTGAAGTGAGAAGCCAGCAGAAATCCCGGCTGTGCCTCGGCAGGGAAGGGCTGCGGGTGCCACCAGCCGGGCGGTGGGGGAGCCTGGGCTGTCCCCTGGCCTGCAGGGACACCTGGTGACAGAGCGGGACGGGAGGGTACGCTCGCCCTGCGCCGCTGCGGGGCGCGGCTGAGGGGCTCCCGGGTTCCCCCGCAAAACCACTCCGAGCCGGGCAGCTGCGGGCCAGAACTGAACATTTCCAGCGAAAGGTCTGTGAAAAGCCATGGCTGAATTCTGTCTCAGTCCAGCGAGCCACCAGCTGTTGCAGAAGTATCTGATTCTAGAAAGGTTAAGAGAGATGGGGAGAGAAAAGTACCCACCGTGTTCAGCCTACATAAAAACATCATTTCAATAAAGTGAGGGATTGGGTTTTTTCAATTTAAAATATTGTATTTTTCAGACTGACACTGCAGAGCACATGCAGAGGCCACGTACCACAGCCCAAAGGAAATTTATCCCATGAAAAGCTTGTAGGCAGGTGCCTAAAAACACCATCCCAAACCCCACAATTCCAAGAAGAGTCAAATTGGGCAAACTATCCCCTGGAGGCGACAGCTGGTGATTACAGTGTGCTCCCCCTTCCTCAGCATGCCAAAGTAACCTAACAGCCCTGATAAACCAATCTTCAGTCAGTACTGACCAGTTCTTCAATGGCTCAGTACATTTTAGGATGGTATTTTTGCCATCCATAGGAGTTGTGAATAGAAGAGAATTTTATCAGCATATAGGCAGAAATGAATGCTCTGAGGAAAGGGGACTAGAGAGATGCCTTCTTTGGGAGGCTTCTACCATGCTGAACTTCCTGCTTCACTTTCAGCTCTGTGGAATTAATAACATTTTTTTTCCATTTCTGAGAGCATGAAGTTCTCCTCAAGAAATTAATAAATGGACATATTCTTTGAATATGTCTGGCTTGGAGCACATTAGTCAGTGTCATAGCACAAATATTCATTTCTGCTATGACACTTTTGTAACAGCCGTTGCTGTTACACAGAAATACTCTTGGCCAAGAGCTGGCCAAGCTTTGGCTCAGCTGTCTGAATAAAGGCACAGTCCTGAACCAAACACACCAGGTCTTAGTGAGCTCTCACAGAACTCCATCAGGCTTCTCTGAGCCGCAGCCAGCCCGAGCTTGGATAGATTGTCTGCTGCAGCGCCAGGCACACTTTATAACTTACTAGGAAACATAATAAAAGCAAAATAAAATCTTGGTAGACAGAAGAAACTTTTAGCAAAAAACACATGTGACTTAAGCACTTGTGCCCATTCCCACCTTTCCAGTTCTAGACACAAGCCAATTATGTGAATTGTTTCCACCCCTAATGGCTACAAACTCAGCCCCTAAAAAGCCTCTGCTTTAGAGGTTTTTGTCATACTACTGCTCTACATGTGGGACAATATCTTTTCAAAGAGGTGTTGTCTCAAAAACATAATCATAATTCAATAATTTTAGTTAATTTAATCATAACTACAACTTTTCTATCAGAGTTATGAGTTGCAGAAGTTAATTTATTTTTCCTCCTCTTCAGCTTTTCTTGGATAACATCAATTCAGGGAATTACTTGGTTTTGCTGCCTGTGTGGAAGCAGCCAATAATTATTTCTTTTACATACATTACTATACTTCACAGCTTTCAAGAACAAACTAACTTCACAAAAGGTAAAATATTAAAAATATAAAGAAACAAAGTGCTGCCAGATGAATTTATTAAGTTTTTTATTCCCTTGTAGCCCCCAGAAATTTTCAGTAACAAACTGATTTAGAAAGCAACGAAAACATGACAAACAGAATACATGACAGGCCTCATTCATGTGTTTAATTTATTTAGAACATAATGAGTAAACATTGTCATTGTGTATATTACCTCCCACAATAATAGTTAACAAATTAATTTCAACTAGAACAGAAGAATTTTGCATGCCACTTTCTCCAGAATATTCCAATGAAAAGTTTTTATAACCTTACCCCATTTACATATGAAGGCCTTCTAAGTGACCTGTGTATGACCAGCATTTCAGTTAAATCAGCTTTCACTCTCTTGTTCCAAAAGTCATCTGTGGGACATACTTCTACTTGAACCTAAAAGCTGAATGCTTCATTATTTAATTATTTTTTAAAGACTTGTCAGCACTTCCAGTATCTGATACATTCTATATTCTTTCAGTTTTAAAGCATAATGAATAACTAAGCAGAAACAGAACCTCTCAGATCTCCAGTCCTGGGAGGAGTAAACTGCACCAGAAGTTTATTTCCATCTACTGCACTCCCTGGACAAACTAAAATCCTCATGTTCTCCAGAGAAGCTGCCAGACAGGATTAACACTACAGGAGCAATAACATGAAAGACATGGAAGTTAACAGGCATGTGGTAATGTCCTATCAGCTGTCATAAATTAAGTGGGAATTCCCACTTAATTTGCAGAGTAAAAAGTTAGCTCATGTTTTACCACGGAGCCCCACTAAAAGAAATAAAATTAATAAATCTATAGTTCTGGCAATTCTGTTCAGAGTAAGTCCTTCCAAAAAAACGACTGCAGAAGCTTCCATTTTTTTTAAAGGAAAACAAAGCCATGCTTGCCGAACCTTTACTGTTAAGATAGTACTTACTTGATACTTCATTTCAGATGTCAACTTCCAAAACACAGATTTCAAGTTGCTGATTTAATCACATGGATTTTGCTATTGTCCTGTTTCAAAATAGAATGGGAAACCTCCATTAGCAGCACAAGGTTGTCTGCCAAACAATCACTTATTCAGAGCATCGTCTCTTGGCACATTCTGACTGGAATATTATAATGTCTGTCATCTTCAGTTATGAGAGTCACCACAGGCCAGTCCTCCTCCGGGTCATTGGGGTAAAGTGTGATGAACTCATCAGTGCTGTACTTATAGAGTCGGTACACTTGGATGGTATACTGCAGAGCATAAGCAAGGAGAAACATTTCCACCTACATTGGAAACAACAAATATCTGTGTAAAATTCAGCATAACCTTCTACAAGATTTTCCTCATAAAAATGTTAAACTATTACCTGTCAGATGAATTTTTCAAAGACAAAAATTGTGAAGTGAGAAGTCCTATACATTAGCATCTCTCATTCATTCTCTCATCTCCATCATACCCCTCTACAATACCATGCATTTAACAACAAAGTCCGCAAATCCACAATGGCCTAATAATAAAATGATCCTAAAGAAAAACTGCTTTACACACAGTGTCCTACTGCTGCAAGCAGGTAGGAAAGACATTCTCTTGCATCAGTGTTCATCCTGTTAAGTCACTTAAAACCAGACAAGAGCAGGTTTCAGACAATGATCCTTTCACTCTTACAGGGTACTTTGAAGTTTCCAGCCAAATAAAAAGTAAATGGAAAGCCCTTACAAAGCCTGTTGACAGGATAAGAAAGTCAGAAAAAGAAGCTGTAAAAAGCTTCTACTTTGTCTACTACAGTGACAAGCATATCCTGTTCTAAATAATAATTTACAAAGAATCTTACTGAAATAAACAAATATAGGCAGCACAAAAAAACTGTCAACATAACTTCTTGACTGAACTGAGCAGCAAAAAAGTCACCAATAAATCACTCATTTTCACAGAAACAGCAAACTGTCTTATCTATACTGCAGTTGTCAGATTTTTAAGATAAGAAACAAAACAACAACATAATACTTCCATGTTTCTAGTATCTACAATTAAGTTGTGAACTTCATTGCAGTGTCCCGCTTGTAATGAATTCAATGGGATCTTTCTAAATGGATGTTTCCAAAACCTTTCAGTCTATTCAGCTCATTAACTACTGCTTGTTTTGGTTTGGGGCCTTTTTGTAATATGTGTACCATTTATGCCACATATAAAACACTAACTTCCATTAGCTTATCAGAATTCACCCGTGTATGTGCTACACATGGTCTTCATAATCTGAGTATTAGCTTTTATTATGGTATCTTTTAAAAAGCTAACAACTAAGAGATCCATACAAGTGTTCTATTAATAGCAAACCCTATTTCCAAAGAATGCTACCTGCCAATTGCCAGACAAAAATGTAGTGTTTCAGAGGAGGTCCTTTATGACTCTCACTACAAGCAAGCAGTTCTAACATATTCTTCCCAACAAAAGCTGAGAAATTTCCTAAAGCACTTGAAACTGAAAACTCAAACAGGAAAATAACACCTTAAGAACAACCTATCCTTACTTGTTCAAGGCCTCCACTGTGACCAATATGATTCAAGTGATTATGCATTAACTGACAAGGGTTGCTGGATGTATCCCGTGCAAACAGGAGCCAGGAGAAGACAGGCACTCTCTTTCCACTTTTATCGGCATTGTATAATTCAATGGCAGTGTTAAGCATCAAAAATTTCAGTGCTTCATAAAGACTATACTCCTCCTCTTCATTTTTAAACAATTTATCACAAGCTTCTTGTTTCTCAAGAGGACCCTTTATTTCACTTATATTCTTCCACTAAAAAAAACAAAACAACAAACCATCAGACACAACACAAATCAACAGCCATCATCCTGCAAGAACTGCAAAAAGCCATTCGTGAGTTGTGAGATGCTCAGCACAGGCACTCAGAATTTAACTTATGAAGGGTTTTGTGCCTTTTGAAAAACAATCAAGAATATTTCCACAACTGTACCCCAGTCAAAGTCAGGCTGACTAGTCTGATTGTGCTTAAATCAATACATAAGCAAAGCAAAAGGAAGGGATGCTAGAACTTGCTGCAAAGTGGCAGAACATTGTTGTGGGACAATACACATTAAGGTAATAAGTAACTTTTTAGTTTCCTGCACCATAAAGCCTACATACTGCGTATTCTTTACATTTCTGTTACTCAAAATGCGTATTTCATTCCAACCCTCAAACTGCTGAATGCAGTATTCCAAAAATTCTTAAAAGCCTTCATAAAGAGAATTTGCATTCACAGTAAGAAAGGAACAACCAAAGAGTTTTTTAATAGGTTCCAGAGTTCCAAGAGGGAGAAAGCATGGGGCTAGGTAATATAGTATGAATACTTAGGGGCACAATCATGTTCTTGTGACCTGAAATAAATGTATAAAAATGGAACAAAAACTACTCCTTTGAAATTACTTCGGTGTTGTCGTGGTTTTCTTTCCTTAATATCATCCAGATACCAAAAGGATTTGTCTGCAGTATACATAATTCCTTCAAATAAATACAAGAAATAATAGAGGCAGAAAGCTTCTCTGTTATATTAATTTTTTCATTGAAATCTGTCCAATTAATAGTTTTCTGCAGAGCTGCTTGCAAATATAATTCCAGCATCAGGCTACTGCACGTAGTAAAAGACCAGATGCCTCTCACATATCTGAACAGATATTCTTGACTTTTTTGCAATATACATACAGAAAAGAAAATTTCACTACTGAAAGCATCCTTATGTTAAATTCTCTACATTCAAAAATCTTTGTCACTTTTCTTATTTGCAAGTGATCAAAGAATATACAAATACTTTTCCAACCTTTTTCCTTAGAAGTATTAAATACTCTTTTATTTCATCCTTTATTTCTCCCATCCTCTTGCCAGGTTTCTGTCTGAGCTGCCACTGCTTGATCCAGTCATACTTGCTCAGCAAGTTTTCAGGAAGCTGGAAGTTGAGAGAATAAAAGTCAGCTTAAGCTAAAGGTCTGGAAAGGAAAAGCCATCAACCCACATATTTTATTTTTTTTAACAGTTTTCACCTTAAAATAGTACCTCATATATCCTTCTGAACAGATATAAGAGTAAGATGATCACAACCAAACACAAGTGGCTGTTTATAACATTTGCTGGGTAACAGTAAGAATATTGGTCTATTACTATTTCCAGATCTAACACATAAGGACTGAAAAAAATTACCAACCAAGTTACTCATGCCTTTTTTTTATTTGTTGTTTTATTTTTTTTTGAGGTGGTTTTTTGTGTTTTTTTTTTTTTTTGTTTTGTTTTTTTTTTTAATTAAAACACTCCCCCAACAGCAGATAGATGACAGTGACTTTGTTTGAAAGTGTTCCTGACCCAACGGAACAGAAAATGACATTCATCAGATCATCCTGAAGTCCTGGTGGACTACAAACTACTTTGTCCAGAACAAACAAAAAAAAAATGTTTCCTTTTCAAGAAGCACAATTCAAACACTCTGGGACAGGTTTTTTATTAAAGAAGAAAACAACTCGGGAATTTGCTGATGCATCAAATCATGTTTTAGCCTCAGAACTGCCTCTTTTACTGCTCATGTGCTACACCTGTCCAGTTCAGAGCGTTTACACCTCCCTTGAAGGACATCCTGGCAGTTGCATGTCCAGTTTTGTACCTTCATCTATTAACACATCTTACTGCTAGAACTGGAAGAGCAACTTAGGTCTTACAATGGAGTAAATGCTTGGCTAGAGTAGCACTTATGCCATCAGCCACCACCAGTCCATTTCCAGTTTACTAGGACTCCAAAGTAATAATGTGTTCTCTTTAGTGGCAGCCAAGTATGTGCCAGAGAGGCACAGATCTTCTCCCACCCAGCCTGTCATCCTGTGCACACAGAACTAAATAATCAAAAATTATATGCCAGTAACTTCTACAACTACAAATATGCATGTAATCACCATTTTAAATTAATAACAAGAAAAAACCCAAAAACCCTGTTATATTTGTGCTGCCAGTTGTCAGTATACACATTACTCCTATGTGCCTTCTGCTTTGATGCATAACAATTTATCATTTCAGTTTATTTTGTAGGTATACACCCTTTTAAAAAAATGTTGATTATTATATGACATTTTCCTCTGTGAATCAGTAGCAAAAAAAAAAGGACGTCAAAAACTTAATTAAAAAAAGAACATCATTAAAATTTTTTTTAAATTTGCTCTTTAAAGGATCATTGGGAAACTATGTTCTTTAGTCTGATAATGAGGAAATGGTTGAGAGCTGAAAGAATGTGTTTTTTACAAAAAGGAAGCCATTTTGCAATGTACTTGCTGTAAAACACCTCACAGAACTATTTTCATCAGTAATTACAAAAACATAATCACAAGATGTTTACTTAAAAATTACAGTGGCCAGAATGAGAAATTTTCAGTTGTCCTCTAAAGTTATGCAAAAAGGTAGTAAGGGCAGTGTGAATCTACTCGGACTGCTACCGTACACACAGAGTCTGCATCAGACATTCACCATTTACATTTCAAGCAGCATCCTGACAACTGGAACCTTACTCTTCTCAAGTGCCTCAATTTTGTATCTGCAGCTTCTTACATGTTTTTTCCATGCTCACCAATACCACCAAATAGACTTTGTTGAGACAAAAAAAAAAATTCTAGAATAATGTTCTTCTACTTGCAGGGGAATACCTTGCTTTTCTCATACATCAGTGCTCCACAAGAACTGTTCTTCATGTCAGGTTGGAGTTGCTCTCACACTTATTTTAAGCACCATTTAAGACACAGGTAATTACACATTCTGCAAAGCCTACAGCATCCAATTTGCTATTCCACTTTCTAGAGAAAACATATATGGCACACAAGAATGGACATTATAATTTTGAAAAGCTAGGGTTTTCTCATATGTTAGAATAAATTGTATTTTTTTGTTATTATCAGCTGTCTTGTGGAAAATCTCTTACTGCTGCATTATAGGCAGTAAGAAGAAACCAAGAGAGGAAGATTAAGACAGACAAGTGACATTCCAGTAAGCACTACAGTAACATTTATATCCATCACAAAATGGAAACCAAGGGCATCTGGACTCAATTCCAAGTTGAACGAATCCCTGTGCACAAAGAGTAATCTTGAACATTCTAACTTCTCAGTTATGGGGATATTGACAAGTGAGCATATACATTATATAACAAGAGAAATGAAATAATAAAATTATCAAATAGGTTAAACCCAATATTAGTCTATTGTCAGAAGATCAGTTTGACACGTACCATAGTAAAATCCTTACTCTGCAGCCACCTTGGTAACTGGGCAGCTTGGCTTAAGGCTTGGAAAAGAGTTGCTCTGAAAGCACAATAGTTATCACCTCGTATTCTCCTAATAGATGCAAACTTCTGGGCAACTGCTTCATATCCCTAGAAAAACACAAAATCCAAAGAACATGAAATCATTAATAAAACATTTTAAGATCACACCCTGTTAACATAAGAGGTATTAGAATATTATCGTCCACATACTAATGCTAATAAAAAAAAAAAAAGCATGATCCACTACCCCTTTTGGAAGTTCAAATGCTTTTAGGTCACAAATTATACCCTAAAAAAACCAACTTAGTTCTGCTAAAAAACAAACAAGAAACTGAAGAAATCTAATAGATAACTGTTTGAGGTATTTGTTTGATGACAGAACATAAACATCACTGAAATATGGGTAGCTAGCTCACCTAGATTTCAAAAAAATATCCAACATACACACACAAGACTACACATCATGCTTAAAAGAAATTTGAGCACTAATTGATGCTACTTACCCCAAACATGGCACATGTAGTTTGTTTCTGCCTCAGGGTAAGTTTGTGTTTATGCTGAAATATCTTGACACTTGCCTCAGCACATTTGTTCCCTCCCTGCTCTTCCCATACTCACAGTTGTAGCAGAAGCCACAATGTTGAAATGCAGCTTCTGTAGCTCAGCTACCCTGGCAAGGGCCCATGTCCTGTGTGTCCATACTTCTCACAGTAATCTCTCCAGGGAGGAATGGGGAGTTTTTGACTTTTGTAAGGTATCTTTATGTTTACTCATACATATCACTAAATTTCTCAAGCAACAAAACAACTTTATTTTCTACCATTCTTGGTCAAGATTAATATAAAAATAGTTAGAAAACTGGTAAAAATCTCAGGAAAAATTTTTTTAAAACCCATGCAATTCACCACTTTTAGTTACTTGCCTTCCACCCAAGAATTTGGTAATCTGCTTTGCACTTTAACAGTCCATAAAATTAGCAATTTATGTCCATAAACAAAATATAAAACTTCAATTGAAAACAATAAAAAAAGACAGTATTAATCAAACCCCTAAATTATCAGCAGGTAGCTTTGCTAAAAACATGTTTGAAATAAGCACAAAGAAAAGCATCTGCCCGCTGTAAACCACTCCTAAGACCTCACAATGTAAAACACTACTACTGCATTTCCTATCTTAAAAGACTGACTGCATAGGAAATCATGTAGCAGACAAAAACCAAGAGCCTAATGAAATCCAACAAAAATAGAACTGCTACCTTTCTTATCCTTTTTGCTGCTGGTGTATTTCCTCTCCATTCCTTCATGCAATACTCCATGATGTCCATTTCAGGTGAAACACTTAATTTATATTCTGTCAAAACAGAATATGCAACATGTTGCATGCAACAGAACCTTATAAAACTGAAGAAGGTAGAAAGCCCATCAAATTTATAACCACACTATCATTTTAAAATAACTTCAGTGCCAAATGAAACTGGCAGCACAACCTGTAGCTACCAAGTAATTATTGGTGTGGGAGGGGATAAAATCCATTTGTTCTGAAAATTATGCGTGAAGAAAAGTTATGATGTAGTTCAACAAATAGGGAACACTCTGCTCCTCCCTTCTGCAAAAATTAATTGGCAAAGATGAGAAATTAGTAAAATACTCATTTTCTTAGCAAGCAGAAAAATATTGACAAAAGTTTCTCTTCTTCATACAGCAGCTAGACTGTAAGGGAGAAAGATGACAGATCTTTCTCAGTAAGTCAGAAAGAAGAGATACAGTTTTGCCTTGGAATCCCAGCAACCTTCATCCCAAAATCAGGTTGTACTGAGGGTATCAAGGCATGCCAGCAACAGATACTGATGACTATGACTGAGTAATTTTCAAGCACAACACTTGTTATGTAGATTAGGTGACTGCTTTCCAAAGAAGTCACATTCACTCGAAGTAGCTACAGAAACAAAGGGAATGATATATTAAGAGCACCTAATTTTCCAGAGAATTTATGTTTTTTGAATGAAACAGTACAATGTACTCAGTCATAAGTAACTGCTATTGAACACATACATCTGTGCACAGAAGTCCCTGGAGGAGAGAGCATCAGGACATCACACATCAGTGCTACAGGGAGTTGCAATACTGTATTTGAAACTTCACACAAAGTTTGATTGTACCTGATGAGTTTGCTTCACTAAGTAGCATTTTCTCTCTTTCTATTTCTTCTTCATCACGATACATGTCCTCCTCGCTGCAATAAAAATCAACACATACCTCAAGTAACAGCACAAATCCTACTCACCTCTTCAACTTCCCATTTTTACAACTGAGGAAAGTGCTTTAGTCTTTCTACCTTTTCTTTCAACTCAATTTGCTTTCCATCTTACCCATTTTCATAGAACCAACATTAGGTCTCAAAAATAGAGAAATGTTTAGAAAACCGTCTCAACTGCTCCCCTCCAGTATCTGTCACAAGGTTGGTAATAAATCATTGCCTGAATTTCTCTTCTGTGTTTGAATGGATACTCCAGTCCCTTTGTATTTCTACATTTTACAGTTTAAATTGGCAAAAGAAACAAGCCAACATGTCTATTTACTGCACATATGAATAATGCACCTATGCATGCAGCTAAGAAGACATCACCCAACAGGGCTTTGTATCTACACACCACTGGGACTGACCAACCCACCTCGTGCTGAGCAGAATACATGACAGAATACAACAAAAAGTGGCCAACTACCTGTATTTAGTTTGAATGTTACTAAATCTAAAGAGAACTTCCACCATGGTCTAAACTGCAGCTTACAGGCTAGCTGAAATCCAGAGAAACATTTCTTCCTCAAATAATATGGGCTTTCTGGCCAAGGTACATTGTCAAGTACCTGCATCTGAGCATATAATACAACATTCTGAAGTCAAGTTATGACCATGAGAGAGGAAATTATGCCCTACAAGAATACTGCATAGACCATCATCTGCAGCTTGTATGGGAACATTACTGCTGAAAACAGAGATCCATACAATGTTCAAAAAACTGACTGCAAATTGCACATTCCATTCCCCAGAGGCATTTGTCATATAATTACATCTAGCAAATAAACTGCTAAAAAATAATCACAGCTTCACAATTAAAATACTTTAAAAAAACTTATGTCACCAGCCATATTAGTACCATTTAGGCATAGCACTAAAATAAGTTTACATTGGAAGTCTGTTTTTCAAAGGAAAGTACATAAGCAGAAAAAGGCTGCAAGGTTATTGCTAACTGCCCACTACTAATTAGTAGCTTCTAATCTACTCCTCAAGAACACCCCAAATCCAAACCACAGTCTGCCTCCAAAAGACTAGGAAGAAATTAAAACACATCTTACACCTCTAAGAGAGGACAAGCAATTAGGAAGACAGTGAGAAAGAGTTTAATGTAGCCAGATGGCAACTGAATTACTTTCATTACACTTGAAAGGACAGACTACTCAATGATGGCTCTGTATTTTCTTTTTCTTTATGTCCAAACCGGCTTACTCAAACCATCTGTGTATATCTCCCTTGAGAACAAAAAGTCTTTAGTAAGAGCAATGTAGCTTAATACCAGGAAACTCATCTACTGACCTGTCATACAAAACTAGTTAAGTTTTTACTCAAGTGCTCAAGTAGCTGCCTGAAATTGCATTTTTAACAACACTAAATAATCATTAATTAAAAGAGAAACAACAAATATAGTAGGTATCAAACAAAGTATTATCTGGCAAGAAGAAACATCATATAAAGATTTGTTTCAAGTCCATATTTGTGTTACACTATGATGCTGGACAAAGCCTAATTTCTCAGCAGAAATTAGGCTTTGTCCATTAAGGACATTAAGGTTTGTGAAGACTTTAAAGAATACTTAATAACCTTGAAAATACCATGATGAAAACCATACAGCTTGGTATGTGACAGCAGCAATCTCTAGCTTATCTTCTGTACAAGCCAAGTATCTAAAATGTAAAGCAACAACCGCCCCCTCTGAGCATGAAGAAACCTGCTACTACAAGGGATCCCACATGGAGAGAAATTGTGTCAGGGCAAGGAAATTTTTCCTCTGCATTACAGCCTTAAATAAATTCAGCATAAGATGCAGAAAGAGAAGAAGTGCTCAACTGACTAAGCCAGTGAGATCAAGAAAGAGGAAGTTTGGTGTAAAGGAAGCAGTGTTATGTCCCTTCTGCAGATATTATGAAACCACCGTCTTTCTGGGAGTTGGCAAAACAGAAGCAGCCACAGACTGAGACCATGACAGATTAACATCCAGAGCAAACAAGGTACTGCAATTCAAGAGAATTGTTTCGAAATCCAGGTAGGCAAGAGGTGCAATCCATCTGCACAGGCACTCTCATTCCAGAGATGGAAGTGCGTCATAACATTGTTGTAGCACAGCAATCTGTGGAAACAAAAGCCTTTCTCCATTAATGTTCAAATAAATATTTCTAAAAATATACTGAAAAAGTAAGAAAAATAGTAGTAAAAAAGAATGATTAAATGAAAACATGTGTGCACAAAAGAAATAAACAGTGCAAAAAGTTGCATGTAAATACTTTAATTATTGAACTAGTTAATGGGATTTTCCTGAACCAAAAATACCAAGGGAAAAAAACCCATAAATTTACCTTCATGAACTGAAAGTACCCTCCCTTTCTACAGGAAAATTGTTAATATATTTTTAAAAATTAATCCTTACCTCTCCTCAGATGACTCCACTGCTGAACGATTACCAGACACAGGTACATACAGCTCACAGTTTCTGGATACATCCTGATCCATCACAAGAGATTTAATTATATCTATCTTTTCAGGTCTCCTACTTCTTCTGTATACACAGTCTTGTCTTATTTCTGATGCAGTTTGCTCTTTCTGGTCTGTAGGAGCATCTGCTGAGCCAAGTTCCTCAGAAGCAACACCAACTTCACCCTGATGCTTCACCAGCTGTGTGGGAACACTCTCTTTTTTCTCTTCTGCACCTGCAGAAAGGCTGGCTGGTTCTGTAAGCCACCCTTGAAGATTATCCTGGCTTTGAAGAATGAAGAAATATATGAAGAGTTTCTCTCCCAGAACAAAAGATATGTTTCAGGAAAATTACAATATTTTAAGAGTTACATTATATTTTGAGAATTCAGAGGGTACATAAATTATTCAAAACCAGGAAGAAAATCCAGAACAGTTTAGTAAAATAAGACCACATCCAAACTATTATCTAACTTACTCCCCTGACCATCATTTCTTACCAAGGCTAAGCTGTGTCAGTTCCTCAAACACAACCTGCACAAGAATTAGTGCTCCGATTAAACACCTGCCACCTGCTATCCTTGGGGTGCATAATCACCTAAAACCCCAAGGATTAACAGAAATTTTAAACAAGTTTCGGTCCTGCAAGTAAATAGTTTTTACAAACTCACCTGGTGCTCTGTGAAACATCCACTGCACCAGGATCATTGCTTAGTGTAAAAATTTCCAATCTTTGTGTCTTCCAATACGATCAAGGTACCAAGATAGGATGTCTACAATCCATTTAGCAAGCTCTCCAAAGGTTTAGGATGTGGCCACATAGTAAATTTTCAGAGATATTTATCTTGAGTTAACATATAATCCTGCCCAAAAGTTGTAAGTTATGGGTTGCTTGATAGCTGTCACATTAACTTTCTAGACAATTAGTGGCTACCCAGGCCAGCCACCTCAGAACTCACAAACTTAACAGCCACCGTATAAACTTTAAAACGGCACAACACATTTCTATTTCTAGGTTAAACCCTCCCACCTGAAAAATATATTTGCTTACTAGTGTTATAGCCCCTTGGCACCCGAGCCCTGATATGTACCAAGCTGTCTCATAGCACAGAGCTAAGAACCAGAGTTCACAGAACTGCAGAGTGGCCTGGGCTGGAAGGGACTGTAAAGGGCACTCAGATCCAATCCCCCTGCTGTGGGCACGGACACCTTGCACTAGACCAGGGTGCTCAGAGCCTTGCACACCTCCCAGGATAGAGCATTCACAGCTTCTCTCACAACCTTGTTCCAGTGCCTCACCACTCTCACAGTACAGAATTCCTTCCTAACGTCTAATCCAAAACTACTCCTTTAGAGCTGGAATCCTTCCCCCTTGTCCTGATCACTACCCACCCTTATAAAAAGTTCCTCTTCATTTTTCTTGTAGGCTCCCTTCAGGTACTGGAAGGCCAAAATTCACTCCAAACCCTTCTTTTTTGCAGTCTGAACAGCCCCAGCTGTCTCAGCATTTCCTCACAGAAGAGGAGCTCCAACCCCCTAATCAAATTCGTGGCCCTGCTGGGGACTCGTTCCTACAGCTCTCTGTCCTTCCGGTGCTGGCAGCCCGGAGCTGCAGCAGCACTGCAGGCGGGGCCTCACAGGAGCGGGGCCGAGGAGCAGAACGCCCTCCCTGAACACCGCGGACCGCGCTGCTTTTGAGCAGAGTCGCACTCCACGTCCCGATTTCTCCAGTCCCCGCTCCTCGGGGAAGGACGGCCCAGGCTTGGCGCAGCGCAGCCCAAGAAGGCCTCACCTTTTCGCCGCGCTCCGGCCCGCCCGGCACCGCTCCGCACCGCCCCGCCGAGCCCCGGCGGCCGCCGCCGGGCCCGGCCCCAGAAGAGGGCGCGGGGCTGGGCCCGGCCGTCACCGCTCGCCGCTCATGCCGGCGGGGCTCCGGGCAAGGCCGGCAGCAGCAGCGCTGGCCCCGGCCCCGGCGCCCGCCCGGCTCCTGCGCGGCCCCTCAGCCCCTGCCGCCCCGCCGGAACCGGCACGCGCCGCGCCCCCGGAAAGGGCGGCCCCGCCGGGGCCCTCAGCCCGCGGGAGTGGCACCGACTGTACCGGAAGTGAAACCGGGAAGTGACCCGCCACGCCTCCACAAGGCGGAAGGCAAGAATAAGTTCTCGTTAACAGAGCAGGCGGTAGAAATAAGAGTTGCTTTCCGGCTGCCAGACGTTTCGTGTGACGGGGGGGGGGGGGGGGGGGGGGGGGGGGGTGGAGGAGTTCGTAAGGAGCTTGCCAGAGGCTGGAAGTCTCTCTTCTGGGAGCAAAGAGATGCGTCACCACATTGCTGAAACTCCAGGAAGAAGAGAAGCGCACACGGAGAGTAGATGAAAAGCTTTTAAAAATTACATTATACTGAAACATGCCCATTATTAAAAAAAAAAAAACAAACACCACAGCAACAACCAAAAAACCCCACCCAAAATAAACAAAAACCAAAACAACAATAACCCAAACAAGCAAAATACAACAACCCAAAACTCAGAACAGTAGAATCTGTACCGTGATAGAAAAGTCCACTGCATTTGGGGGGGGGGGGGGGGGGGGGGAACTTCACATTGAAATTGGGTCTGAAAATGAAGTATTTGTCTTCTTTCGGAACTTTCTCTCATAAGAATGTGTTTTCTCTGATTATGACAAGTGATGCTGAGACTGGAGGCAAATACCTACTACAATTATACTTTTCAGCAAAGTTAAAATAGTTACAACACGTATTTAGAGTATCAAACGTTATTTGGGAGACCATTTTAAAGGTGAAGGTCAGGTAGTAAAACCTCTAAAAGGTTAAAATGGCAATGATAAGTGTTATAAATGAAAATTTGTCCAGCCAAATTAATATGAAAAATAAAATATTTATTTTGCAATCAAATTCTATCTAGCCAGCCACAAGGAAAGAACAGAGCTGAGCCCGGGGTCGGCCCTGGGTGTGCAACAAAGAGTCAGCCTCATCAGAGGTTTTCCTCCATGCCCACACCTCCATCCTGGCACAAGCAGTTTTTATAGGGAAAATTCCGCCTGAGGCCAAGATTTCAGCAATCAGTCTTTTCTTCTATTCAGAGTCCATATGTTAATAAGATTTTCTTTTTTGGTGATGAGGGAGAACAAATCAGTGTCTGGAGTTTGTTGAATTCCTTGATGAAATTTACATGAATTCAGCAACGCTGTATTCACATGTACCTGCCTGAGGATTTCCATGATATCCATCTCGGGTCGTTCATGAGAACAATCAGCATCTCCCCAGACATGGCCCATCTCCTGGCGAGCTGTACCTTCTTACTTGTAAATCAGTTTCCAATCTACACCCGGTCTCACCTGTGCCTGTGAGGGTGGGGGGGCAATCCTAATACAAACATGTATACTCTAACAAATATTCAATATCACATGTATCATATTAGAAATGGCGCAAATTATATCTACTACACATAACAATAAGTATTTTACAACATCATGAAACTTAATATGAAACTGACAGACGTTTTTGTAAACAAACCTTTTCTGTTTCTTTTATCCTTGAGACATGTGGAAGTATCATGTGTTTGAAGAAAAGCAAAAAATAAAAAAACCAAAACATTATCTTAGTGTTGGAATAAGCAGGTATTGATGATTCCAAGATTGTATAGTCTCTTTCTGCCCCGTTGCCAAAGAAGAAGCCATAATTCATCTGTGCTGTTTTCCAGGTTGTTTATTCTTGCTTATCTATAACATGTTCTGCTGCCCTGCCACAGGTCTGTCCTGCAGGGCAGCGTGCGGGGCTCTGCCCCTCAGTGGGATGGTACAAACATTATATACCAGAAACTACATGTGCTCTGTTTACAATAATGTTCCAATATCTATCATCTACAATGAACAGTGTGTCCCCAGCCTAAACCAATAGAAAAATGCCAACACTACAGTGAAACATGGAGGGCATGAAGAAGAAGAAAAAGGACAAGACACACCCAATTTCTTCCATCTTGTCCCCTTTGAACTCCTAATCTAGAAACCTAAAATTGTACTTTTGCGCCCGTGCCACACTTAATTTTTACTCATATCAAACACTCAGAGCTTGTAATTCATCCTGTAAGATTGAAAATTCTTTTCCATGGACAGAGATCATGGACAGTGTCTCTCGGGGCTCTGTACAGGGGGGTTCCTGACCCCCTGCCAGGGTCCCAGGCCCTCCAGGGCAGCCAGAGGGAAACCCTGGATTCCCACATCTTAGGTCTCTCTTAATCACTGCTCTTCTCATGAATCAACTTCATGTTGAATTGTTCTTGACAATGACATCTGTTTTGAAAAATTTCTTTGTTCAAACAGCTGTTTGAGTGACAGGTTTGTCTTAATATGCATTCTTGTTTCCCACTGGCCATTCCAGAATTACTATCAAACAGCTAGTCCACTTGAAATATACCCACCTGTTTCCCATGTTCCCATTATTTAAATAATTCAAATTTAGTAGCATTTAAGAGCCATTACAGTTGTCTCTTTTGTAAGATTAGGTACTTTGTTTGTTTGTTATTTATCTACCTTTGCTGTTCTCTCAGCAACTTTAGGGCAGAGATGTTTTGGCAGATCTACTAGTGTAAGTTCGCTGCATCTTTTACTAAGTGTAAGGTACAACCAACCACTAAGCTAATCAACAAAGTTTATGAAAATACACAACAAAGACATTCAGTGCAATACAGGAGATCATATTTTGTAAGTTGAAATATTTCTATACTTGGTACTTTCTGGTAAAGGACACTAGCAGCTCAGATTTTGATACAAGAAGAACCCATAAAACACCATGAGAATTTTTTTTTTTTTTTTTACCTTATTTAATGCATCTTAGTGCTTGCCAGCAGTTGTTATCTTCTTTGCTAAGTTAATTACATTGCACTACTTGAAAATTGCTCTACATTTTTCAGGATTATGATTTAGGTGATCAGTTCTTGTGACTACAGGGGAATACTGTTCAGAAGAAAAAAGGATGGGGAAATCCCACCAGTAGAGTCAAATGGGCAATACAATATCCATTATATACTTGTGTGATTACGTATTACCCATGAGTGTTTTCTTTCCTTCAGCATCCCTAAATTTGTTAGAGGTTTTGGACATATATTCCTAATAACATATATCTCCTCCCTGGTACATAAAGACAGGTATACCGAGATGCTGCTTTCCACTTTTATAGTTTACAGTTTTATTTGTCCTTAGAGTGAGCTCTAAATTGGCATGCTGCTGTCCATCAACCAGAAAGGTGTTCCCAGCACCCTGTGTTCCTT